CAAACAGGATGGCAACATTGAGCGCTTCAAAGCCCATCTGGTGGCCAAGGGTTTTACTCAGACCGAGGGTATACATCAACTGTTCGGTGCCTCCTCGTCTTTGCAGTGCCTGGTGATTCCCGGGTTTGTCGCCTACACAAATCCATTTATGGACTGAAGCAAGCTTCTCGCAACTGGTATGCGAAGTTCACATCGACTCTTACAGGTCTTGGTTTTCAACATTCTCGTGCGGACTACTCTTTATTTGTTCGTCGTCGACAGGGTTCATATGTTGCTGCGCTCATTTATGTTGATGATGTCATCCTGGCGGGTGACGTTATGGACTTCATTCAGCAGGTTAAGGATAGGCTTCACAGCGAGTTTGGCATAAAAAATCTTGGGCCTCTGAAGTACTTTTTGGGTATTGAGGTAGCTCGGTCCCGTGCTGGTATTATGCTTTGCCAGCGAAAGTACACACTTGATCTCTTACAGGACAGTGGACTCTCTGGTGGGCGTCCTAGCATCTTTCCCATTGAACAACACCATCAACTTACGCGACCTCCTGATGATGAGTCTCCTCGCGTTTCTGATGACGATGCCGCTGCGTATCATCGCCTGGTCGGCCGTCTCCAGTATCTCACGGTAACCCGACCTGACATTGTTTATGCTGTTAACATCCTCAGTCGATACTAGGGATGGCAATCAAACCCATGGCCGCGGGTACCCGACCGCCCCCGACCCAGTCAACGCGGGGAATCCCCACTTTGACCGGGTATGGGGCGGGTATGGGTAAAACCCGCAAAAAGTTTGATGGGTATGGGGTGGGTATGGTTTTAGCCTCCTCCGCCCCATACCCATACCCGCCCCACCAAGAGAATTTCTTCACATATCAAAAAATATGTGGATTAAATTGTAATCTATCAATGATGATGATGATAACTCGAGAAAATAAATAGTAGAAATGCAATTGAGTAACCACCTTAATCAAAACCTAATTCATTTCCCTCAATTCTCCTTCCACTCTTTCACTTTCCCCCTTGTCGACAAGATTATGTTAGTTAGTTATTACTTAGTAAATGTATCAAGAGTTAGAGCATAATAATTTAAAAAATATTATAGTATATATTATGTATTAATGGATTTTAGGATCATATTCTTTGAATCGTATTTAGAAAATGACCGTGTTTTGTTGACTTCATGTATAATAGGTTTGTTTATGGTTATAATTAAAACTTTTCTTGTAAGTTTTAGGTATAATAATGTTGGATGTACGGGGATGGGTATTACCCATGGGTACCCGAAACCCACGGGTATGGGGATGGGTTTGCAAAACATTACCCCGCATGGGTATGGGGCGGGTATGGGTTTGGGTATTTGAAGATGGGGATGGGGATGGTTTAGGCAAACCCGCCCCAAACCCGCCCCATTGTCATCCCTAGTCGATACGTGCATGCTCCCACTTCCGCTCATGTTGCTGCAGCTGAGCGCGTGCTTCGCTATCTGAAGAGTGCTCTTGGGCAGGGCATCTTACTTCCCTCTACTAGTCATTTGCATCTCACGGCCTACTGTGATGCTGACTGGGGCGGTTGTCAGACTTCTCGACGATCAACCTCAGGCTATTTTGTTACATTGGGTGATGCCCCGGTCTCGTGGCGGACAAAGAAATAAGGGGTCGTTGCACGTTCTTCTGTGGAAGTCGAGTATCGCGCCATGGACAGTACCGTCAGTGAAGTTCTTTGGCTGCGAGCTCTTCTCTGCGATTTGGGAGTTCCTTCTACTGGTCCAACGGTTCTCCATTGTGATAATCAGGCTGCCATTCATATTGCAGCTAACCCTGTGTTCCACGAACGTACGAAGCACGTGGAAATGGACTGTTATTTTGTTCGAGAGCATGTCACCTCTGGTAAAATTCATCCGCAGAAAATCTCATCCCATGATCAACTTGCCGATCTATTCACTAAAGGGCTCACCGGTGACCGATTTCAGGAGTTATTATACAAGCTAGGTATTTGCAATCTTCATGCCTCAGCTTGTGGGAGAGTATAAGATGATGATTTCCTTGTACGTAGTCGTTTGCATGAGAGTGTAAGGGTGAGAAAGTCTTTTCTCGAATCAGCCCACGTATAACCCTAGTAGTCCATGGAGAATAGGGTATATATTGATCTCTTCGTTGTAATCGGCCGTACATTGAATGAAAGCTTGAAAGAACTAATCTTCTCCGTGGAGTAAGCCTAATTCACATTGAATGGGACTAACCACGTAAAACTCGTGTCTTGCGTTCTATACTTTCTCGTACATAAATCTTTCAGCTTATGATTCATGGCCATCACAGAGAGGCGAAGAAGGAAGCGACGAGGCCGGCAACGTAGAGGGAGGAAGTGAGCTGCAGCTGGCTATCGAATTTGTAATAATTGCTGATTTTGGTACCCTATTTCATATTCGCGGAAGAACTTTTTTCAAGAATGACTCCGTTGAAGTCACTCCGCCTGAAATTCCAATGCCGTGGGCGAAGATGACACCTACCATGGTGGCCATCATACAAGAGAGAGCAACGAAAGGGGTGATCTTGCCGTACACTGCACTCCCTCCTGCTGGTTAATCCTCCTACGGTGGCCATGGATGATGAGCCAACTGCCATTGGTTACTTCCTAATGAGCTTGATCTTGAATATTTGTGAAGGAGTACTCTATAGTCTATACATATAGTTTCATTGGCTGCACTAAGCGAGGAGACAATGACCACTTTTTAAAATCTTTCTCAAGAAATTTCGGAGGGATTTACAATACATACTTTAAGCTGACTGATATGGTGCAGAGAAGGTTATTTCGTAGCTTGGGGCTAGGAAAGCTCTTCTACATAATAGACTCTCTTATTGAAAAAAGAAAGAGCTCATCGAGAGCAACGTCCGCGCAATTTCACTATCCGGAGACGGCTCATGGCGCAACTTTGGGAAATTTGATTACGCCAACTTTGTAACAAGCTATTTAGCTTCTTTGGGCCATTCGTTGCCATTGGGAGAGCACTTATGTGAAATATAACGTAACTCAGCTTGGTGTTGATTGTACTTTAATTAGTTCGAGGTTGAAACCTCGGTGTCGAAAGAGGGAATAAGAGTGTTGAAATCGTCGAAAACCAAAACGTTGAAAGTGTCAAAACCTCAAGATTCGTCAATGCACAAAGGATGGGAACACCTTGAAACATCGAAGAGTGAATAAGAGCGTTGAAAGCATCGAGAGTCCAAGATTCATCAATGCATAAAGGACTGGACCACCTTTAAAAATCCCATTTTCTTAAAAATATTAAATGAAATTTTGATATAATTAATATTTAAAATAAAGTCGGGATGGAAACTTGAAACAAAAATACTTTCTGCTAGTTTAGATTTCTGACAGAACAATATCTTAATACTTATTAAAGATATAATGTTGTTACTGTTGCATTAGAGATAGGTTAAAATGACAAGGAGCTTTAGTTGTTGTAGGTGAAAGCCACTTTTACATTCAACACGTGGCTATTATAAATTTTTTGTTTTGCATCTTTCTTCTTTGTCATAAGATTTCTTTTAGCTTTTGTAATTTGATTATGCTAATTTGTGTGGTGGGTCATTATGCTTGGGTCACAGTAATTGGTTTGTCTACTCTATTGCATGAGAATTTTGCTAATTTGATATTTGGGTATTTTGTTTGTTTTGGGTCACAGTTGGTTTTACGTCCCGATTTAGTCCGTTGTTAGACTTTTATTTTAATAGCTAGGAGATTGGTGTTATGTATTTTTGTTCATCAGAACTCACGGGTATTCATCAATCCGCAGATACTCAGTGGGTTGGGTTTGAGGTTTCCAAACTCATTTGATTTTACCTCGAGATTTTTTCTCCCGAGATATAATAATATATTCTATAAGTTGGGTTTGGATTTGACAGAAACCAACCTAACTCGACCCGTTGTTATCCCCATCTAAGGTAGTACCGGAAAAGTTAGCATTAGTGTATTTTCTGCTAAAATTGTAGTTCAACTATGGTTAAAATCAAACTTGACACGTTGCTTCAACATGAGCCTCGATTTATGTTCAGAAAAAAATAAAAAAAATATGAAACCATTGGAAAAGTTAGCATTAGGGTATTTTGTTCTATAATCGTAGTTCAATCGTGATTAAATCAACCTTGACGTGTTGATCCAATCCGAGCCTCGATGTATGTGCATAAAAAATAGACAATTGTAAAAGCATATCGAAGGTCATACCGAAGAAATTAGCATTAGTGCATTTTCTGCTAAAATTATAGTTCAATTGTGGTTAAATCATTTCATACCACTAAAATCACCTACCAATTAAGATTTTTTTAGGAGTTTCTCTATTGGATCGCTGCTAAGCACGGTCACAAATCAAATACGGGTTAGCAAATGATGCATCTTATCCTGTGAGACGCCGCAGCAAAGCGCGGCACAGAATCTACCTAGTTGTTATTATTAGTGTTTCACCTTGCTGGTTGTTTTGATTAATTTGCTCATTTTGAGATGGCAGCCTTGGGCTGTCAAGGTAGTTTTGAACTCAATGTAATTTTAATTTAATCACAATAGAAGTTTTTCAAAATTCACTTTATCATTATTGTTTATATAACAATATTACAACGATAACAACAATAAAAATGAAGGATTGAAAAACCGTACCGAAGGTTGTACCAAAAAAGTTAGTGATATAATATTTTATAATGAAATTGTAGTCTAATTGTGTTTCAACGATTTCATACCGCTAAATACCAGCTATCGAATTTTTTTCCCGATATGAGATTTTTATAATCGAACAGTCGGTACGCTATAATTTTTCAATTCTTGAATTAAAAAATGTTACTGAAAATGTGCTGATGAAAGTGAGAAAGAGGAGGGGCCGGCGAGTTTTTGATATTACCGGTTAAATTTGAGCCTAGTCGAATTGGGCCTGGATGTAAACTCATCTGAAGCCTATAACCTACCTTAGCCGCCTTTCTCTGGTTGCACGAGGAAAAGTGAAAATATAACATATACATCTGGAACTTGGAACTGGAATGAAAACAGTTTTTACCAAGTACGGGTTCCGCGAACGGGCGTGGGGATATTTCCTAAATTCGTTTCCCAAAGCCACAAGCCCTCAATACAATCTATCCCGCAATCTCACCAAAAACCCTAGCTCCTTCTGCTTTCTCCCTTCCTTTCTTCCATGGAATCCGTCGTCGAGGAAGCTACGAACCCACAGTTCCATCTCTCAGATCCCTCCCCTCCGCCGGAAAACCTGGCCCTGGACACTGCCGAGCCGCCTTCTCCTGAAAACCCGCCCCAATCTCACGACGCGTATCCCGCTGCCATAGGCAATAATGGCCAGATCGAGTTCCCGAAGCCTAGGCTCGACTTCACCAAGCCTCTCCTATCTGAGAATGGCCTCGCCAACACCAACAGCGGCGACAGGGACTTCTCCGGCGGTGAAGAGGAGACGACGAGCCGTCGCAAGCGGAGGAGCCGCTGGGACCCGCAGCCGGACGGCAGCGGGGGAAATCAGGCGGCGGATGGAGGCGGGAGCAATAACGGTAGCAGTAACAATAATAATAATGAAGCCGGGAGTGGCACTCGGAAGAGGAAGTCGAGGTGGGCGGATGATGAGCCCAAGCCTGTGATTCAGCTCCCAGATTTTATGAAGGATTTCACCGGAGGTATTGAATTCGACCCCGAAATCCAGGCTTTGAATGCTAGGCTTCTCGAGATTAGCAGGATGTTACAGTCTGGTACGTCTCAGTCTGGTTTGCCTTTGGATGATAGACCTGAAGGAGCTAGGTCTCCTTCTCCTGAACCAATTTATGATAACATGGGAATTAGGATTAATACTAGAGAGTATAGGGCCAGGGAGAGATTGAACAAAGAGAGGCAGGAGATCATTTCACAGATCATCAAGAAGAATCCTGCGTTTAAGCCTCCTGCTGACTACAGGCCCCCAAAGCTTCACAAGAAGCTCTACATCCCGATGAAGGAGTACCCAGGGTATAACTTTATTGGATTGATTATTGGACCTAGAGGCAACACGCAGAAAAGAATGGAGAGGGAAACCGGTGCTAAGATTGTAATTCGAGGGAAAGGGTCGGTGAAGGAGGGCAGGTTGCAGCAGAAGAGGGATTTAAAGCCGGATCCGTCTGAGAATGAAGATTTGCATGTTTTGGTTGAGGCAGATACTCAGGATGCCTTGGATGCTGCTGCTGGCATGGTCGAGAAGCTGTTGCAGCCGGTTGATGAGGTTCTGAATGAGCATAAGAGGCAGCAGCTTAGGGAACTAGCTGCTTTGAACGGGACAATTAGGGATGAAGAGTATTGCCGGTTGTGCGGTGAGCCTGGACACAGGCAGTATGCTTGTCCATCCCGGACTACAACATTTAAGAGTGATGTGCTCTGTAAGATTTGTGGTGATGGTGGACATCCTACTATTGATTGTCCTGTTAAGGGAACAACTGGGAAGAAAATGGACGATGAATACCAAAACTTCTTGGCGGAACTGGGTGGGACTATGCCTGAGTCCTCGAATAAACAAACTGCCACCTTGGCTTTGGGGTCAAGTGGATCTGGAAGCAATCCTCCATGGGCTAGCAACACTGGCGGTATTGGCAGTGCGAATCAAGCTGGACTAGGAGCCAGTGATGGTAAATCGACGAAGGAATATGATGATACCAATCTTTACATTGGCTACTTGCCTCCTACTTTTGATGATGATCGTTTGATCCAGTTATTCTCTGCATACGGTGAGATTGTAATGGCAAAGGTAATCAAGGATCGGGTTACTGGGTTGAGTAAAGGGTATGGTTTTGTCAAGTATCGTGATGTTCAAATGGCTAATTCGGCAACTACTGGCATGAATGGAGCTCGTGTTGAAGGTCGGACCATTGCTGTGAGGGTTGCAGGTAAGCCTCCTCAGCCTAGTGTTCCTCCTGGCCCTCCTGCATCCAGCATGCCCACATACCCTGTCTCAAGTCAACCAGTTGGTGCCTATCCATCCCAGCAGTTCACCCCTGGTGGTCCTCTTCCACCTGCTCCTCCAGGAAACTATGCTGCTCCTCATCCAAGCTATGGAGGGCCTCCTGTTCCTTGGGGACCACCTGTTCCGTCTCCCTATGCTCATTATCCTCCACCTCCTCCTGGTTCAAACATGTATCCTCCTCCTCCACCTCCTCCTGGACACCCAATGGCACCTTATGGCATGCAATATCCTCCACCGGTGCCTCCGGCTCCCGGTGCTCCTAGTCCAACTGTGACTTCTGAAGCTCAACAAAGTTACCCACCAGGTGTCCCATCGGAGAACCACACTTCTGCTCCGCCACCTGCATCATCTAACATCTATGGGAATGTTCCACCAATGCAACCAGTTTACGCAACTGCTTCTCTAGGTTACTCATCATATTATAGTGCAGTTCCTCCTCCTCCGGCTGCGCCTATGCCAACAACTGATCACTCCCAGGGGATGAGCAATTTACCTTGGGCACCGAATCCACCACAACCACCACTTCCAGGAGCTTCCACTGGAGAGAAAACGAACTATGGAGCTGATGCTGAGTATGAAAAGTTCATGGCAGAGATGAAATGATGGGTCTTTTTGTGTTACTGGTACCTATTTGTCAAGAGGTATGTTCTCGTCTATAATTTTATGCGTGTTAAAATTAAAACATGTGCATCAGTGCATGTACCTGATAACTGTTCACTTGGAGATAGAATCACACTTTCCTGACCCTCCAAATGACTGCAGAAAGTAGACATGGAGTTAACCTAGTTATCATTTAACTCAAGTTAAAATTCTTTTTTTTTTTTTTTGTATAACTGCAGCACAAACACCTGTCTTCTTATAGTTCTAGTGGTAAATTTATATCCTAAGTAGTCCCAGTGTGTGTAACAGATTAAATTTCAACTTCTCCATTCCTCGACTTTTCAAAAGAGGAAAATATAAAATTCTCTGAAGTTTTGTGGTAGTATTTAGTGGTTGTCATAGTGCCTCTGTCAGTGAAGAGATTGAGAATTGAGATGCTTCACATTGACTTGGTTTGCACAATGTTTGTGCTATAATGTTTTTATGCTTCTGTTGGACTTGGACTCTCGATTGACCGTACTATTGATTCGTAAAGGGAGCTCAGGACTTTTATTATATGAGTTTAGTGTACAACTGAGAATCGGTGAATTTTTGGTTAATGTTAGAAAACTTAGTTACACATTCTGTTAGCATGATAAATCATAATGCGGCTTCATATCTGCTTATTCCTCTCGGTCACATATATCACTATATGATTATATCGTCATAACATTTCACGCAATGTTCTTTCTTTTTACACTTCTTAACCATTTGCTTTTGTCGTTATTGGATAATTTTTTTCAGGCCTGATGTTTCTTGGAGCAACCTGATTTCTTACATCTTGCCATGACTTTGACGTTTGGGACTCACATCTTTAACCTTGCTGTACTGTTATGACATTTGCAGAGATTTGGGCTGCTAGTTCAATCCACAGCCTCCCATATCAGGGACCCATCGGAATTTTGTTGATGTTCCTCACTGTTTTTGTAGGACTTAATCGTTATATTCTAGTGGATAATGGTGCTTTGATATTATGTTTTCATTTGCTAATCTTTCCCTTAGTGCCTCATTTCAAAATTATTATGGAAATTGGAGACAGGTATCCTACTGTTGTGTTTTTGTCCTACAGGTTGTTTTCATTTGGACTCTGATCTGTGTCATACTTCCTGTGTTAAGCTCTCAATATTTTGTTTTCTTACTGCTCCCAACTTTTCTTGGGCTTTGCATTCCTTCGAGGCATTCGAAGGTATATAAGCATTCCCTGGAATGTGAAGTTATTTTGGGTAGGTTGGAGAAGCTGCTGCTGCTGCTACTGATATATATATATCTATGTCTTCATGTTATATTTGGTCATGGTGCGCTACCTTTGCATGGTACTTTCTTTCAATCTACACTGACGATTCCTTACCGGAATGTTGAGGTGATTCTTATTTCGGTAGGTTCAAATGGCACTGCTACAGGGGTGTTTGTGGTGTGTGTTATACTGGAACTCATTGTCTGGTGCATTCTCCTGAAACGTGTTAGACGAATTAGGTGTTTGTTTAGGGTAGTGATCAAGTTCTTTTGGGCAGAGCTTAAAGCTCTTTTTCTAGTCGGGGGTAACTTAACCTCGAGTTGCAGGTCCTTTCTCAGTGGATTCAGCCGGCAAAGAAGATGATGCAGCTTGGGAAAATATTGGGTCATTGCGTTTTTTTCTTCTTGATATTTTCTGACCCTCTTTTCTAACCCCTTGTATATGTGAGCTGGTCAGGGATTGTTGAAAACGGGTGAGGGAATTTGTTGCCAAGCAAAGACTCTCTCTGAACTTTGTCAAAGGAGATTCTGGGGTTGGCTATCGGCTATTAGTGTTATTCGTGAAATGTGTTGTCACGGAGAGTTAGGGTTCCCTTTCTCCAATGGAACACGGTAAATGACATTGGTGGCACTTATAAAATAGGATGATCACTGTGAACTGGAACTGCTGTAAATGAGTGTTCTTCATTTTGAATTGTCGTCCTACGATCTTAATCGAGTTATGAAATAGCCCTACTGTTCAAGGGTTTGCGACTGCCTTTTTGCTGGAACGTGAACTCGGTAGCATATGTGCCCTTGATTTGCTTGGTTTCTCATTTGCTTCTGTTGTGTGTTTGATTGCGTTTATGCCTCTGGTGCTTGTGTTCGGATTGGCCTTGGTAGCTATTGCTACCTAGTGACCGAGTTAGTGTTTATGGTAACATCGAGTCGTATGCTTGATTTGTTCTCCCTTGTCGAACTACTTCAACTGGATCGAGTTCTCAAACATATCAGTTCGCCATAATCAACAAGGTTTCTTACAACATCATAGACAATCCAAGTGTGTGGTCCAGATTTTAAGACGAGAAAGCGTCACTACACTAGTATACTAGGTGAATCATGAGGATGATACTAACTAGGGGAGGAAAATAAACCATAGGGAAATCGACAGTGCATAGTTCGACAAGTACATAAACTTTAGTGTGTCTGTGATAACACAACAGATTAAGAGTTCGTTTTTAAGAATCGGATCTATTTTCTAACTAGAAAAATTGGTGATACATGGTTCAATGACTAATTGTCCCCCCTCCCAATTTATACAGGAAAAGCGTTCTCGTGTCTCTTGGTCTGTCATATATAAAGGGCATAAATCAACCACATCAAGATTCCATTTTTTTCACTTTGTCTAGCATAGTACTTCTACCGATCAGTATTAACAATGTAGGCAGAGAGTTCCCTGGATTGTTACTTGCATCTAGGGCTGGAAGTTTGGTACCGGTATTTGAGATATACCAAATACCGTACTGAATTTGTATATATTTGGTATTATCGAATACACGTATTATTTTGTGGGATTGGGATTGGGATTGAATTTCTATTGTTATTCGGTATTAGGGATTACGGGATTGGGATCGGTATATACCGAAATACTGATCAATACCGAAATATAAGCTAGTGTGTATTTTATCCTCTCAACTAAACTCTCTCATTCACTACTACGCGACCATCAACCGCCAAAAGTGTCATTTAATTATACATAGATCATTACATCACTATTTCACACTATTATTAGTCGTCTCTCAACCTCAAATTCGTCAAATTAAAGATTACCAATTACAAGAACTTGAGATGTTAGCTCTAGGCAACTCAAGACTATTTACTTAGTCTCTTCGCTCTAAATTAAACAATAAAATCTAATTTATATATTTAATTATTAATTACAAAGGTAATTAATTATGTATTCGATAATACCGATTGGGATACCGAGGTACCGATTGGGATACCGAAATTATTTATGGATTGGGATTGGGATACCGAAATTATTTAGGGATTGAGATTGGAATTGATTTTAGGGTGTAATTCGGTATTTGGAATTTCGGTATTTGGTATTGGAATACCGATACCGTACAGATTTCCACCCCTAGGTGCATCTGTCTCTCAATGACTAATTGTTAGAACCGTCCATGTACTATTAACTAGCATAGGACGAAGAGGCAAGCGTGGAAATAAAGAAGGCAAATGGGAAACGAACGTAAGAGGAAGTACAAAAGTAAAACGAACTATGTTAGGTTAGCATTTCAGATTTTTGTGTATCATAAAAAAAATTTAACTTTCGGTATTTTTTATTAAAATCACTTTTAGATTAGAGAGATTTTGGTCATTTGGCAACGAGCCATCTGGAATATTGTTAACCATTCAAACAAACCAAGTGATCCGTTACTGAAATTGATGGCTACTTCACTAGTCCGACCAACCCTTTTAGTTGGATTCTCAGAACACAGACTAGGAGCTAGCTATTTTATCAAGTATATACTTAGGAAAAGTTAGTATTAAATTATTTTCTTTCACGTACAATTTTCTTACAAAACTTCTGAAACAAATGATCCATCACATTACAATATTCGAATTGAGATATGGGAGAAAAGGTAAAAAAAAAAACCTTCTACATGTAGATGGTGTTGTTGCTGGACACACAAACTACGGGTAATTAGCATAAATGGTAACAAACCTTTGCACTTAGTACAAAATGGTCACAAACCTTTAATTTGTAACAATACGGTAACAAAACTTCGAAAGTATATAAAATGGTCACCGCTATTTAATTTATGACCGTTTTGTTTTAAGTGCAAAGGTTTATTACCGAATCGTTACAAATTAAATGTTTGTCATGTTTTGAGGTCGGGTAGTTTGTTCGTTAAGTATATGACACTAACCACTTGAACGACATATAAGATGTCAGGTCATGTGTTCATCGACATATTTGCTTTGCCGAATAAGAATGCCCTCAGTTGACCTTTCAATTTCGATACCAAGAAAGTAAGAAAGTAGACATAGTTTTTTCAACTAAAAAGCAGTCTAGAACCCGTTTGTGAGCCATTGAATTCTCTCATTGTCATCCTAAACAACATAATATCATTCACATACATTAACAAAACCACCATACAACTAGAGTGAATTGTAACGGTGATTGAGCGTTCAAACTTTTGAACTTAATTTGTACAAAACGGTCACCAAAAGTCTAATTTGCAACGACACGGTAACAAAAGTTTGAACTAGTATGAAACGGTCACACTGTTTAATTTGTGACTGTTTTGTTCTAAGTAAAAAAGTTTTGTTATCAAATGGTTACAAATTAAAGGTTTGTGACTGTTTTGTACTAAGTGCAAAGGTTTGTGACCATTTATGCTAATTACCCCACAAACTACTGAAATAGGGGTCGTTTGGAAGTTGCGATTGCTAAATAGATGTATTGTTGAGAATGCATGTATAATATTATACATGTATTGTCGAATTTGATGCATTGTAGAATACAACGTTTGGTATATGTTATTGTGTATGTCGCATCAGCTAAAAGCTGAGACAAAACAATCTCAACTCAACTATCTCAACAATCACAGCTAAAAGTTGAGATATAACAATCACTCAAAATGAGTGATAGTTTCTGTCACATCACAGAAACAATCCATGTATTGTTTCTGCTAAAAAAATAAAAAAACGATGCATTGTAAACAATACATGCATAATGACAATCTCAACAAAACTATCGCAACTTCCAAACGACCCCTAAGTACTATAACTGTGTAGAGTTTGACAAAGTTATAAAGTAGCTCCGATTGCTCTAACTGTTTTCCTCAATCCAGAGATCGCAGGTTCGATCCCTAACTGTTTCATTTTCCTCCATCTTTTTTCCCCGCCGCGATATCTTTTGCCTTCCGACCGAAATTCCACCGCCATGGATCACGACGACCCTCCGGCCAATCGCAGGAAGGTTAGCTCCGGCCAACTCTGCCATCAAATTTCTCAATCTATCCCGGAAAGAAACTCCTCGAGTTTTTCAAGCCAGCGGTTTCTTAGATCTGAAAATTTCTCACTTGCATCACTTTCATTCCCTCCTGCAGCTGAAGTTCGCCCCCAAGTCCGCTTCCCAGAGGAAGCCCCGCCTCTCCTCCCCCAAACCGTAATCCCCACTTCCTTTCCTCCTCGTTACCGACAATCTGAATTGTCAGTGTTCAAATTTCTGATTTTCCATTTTTCTTTTGAGCGAACGAAATGCAGCAAGGCCAGCTACGATGGCAGCAACGAAGACGAAGCTGCGAAAGCTCAGAAGCTGATGACCAGATTCAACGTAAGCCACTTCCCAATTCCTTTCTAAATTACGAAATTATCTCTTAAACTTTGGCGGTTAATATCTGTTTAGTGTTTTACCACTTCCCGCTTCCGTTCCGTTTCGGGTTCGGGTCAAATGCTAAGACTCGGTTGGACCTTAAACCGCGTTTAATTTCCTCCTTAATCTTCTTCTTTTTAAAAGAGGGTGATGCTACCAATTCATTAAGTAGGGATTAGTATACCACCTTTGCTGCCAGACATGGCTTATGATGAATGGCAGAGTATTTTTTCTATTGAAGTTCCAAACTTTAGCCTAGATCATGACATTTTGGTCCAAATTGCAGCTACCAAGTTAAAGAACAAGTGAATCCCTAACTTCTTGTTTGTAGCTTGACTAGAACCCATCTCAAGTTGTTTTGGGTGGGTTTTCATTGTTGCAGGAGAATATCAAGAGACAGGCTACTAGAGCTGACAAGAAAGGTAGTTGAAGTTGTCATCTTTCACCTCAATGTTCTGATATCTGCAGGAGACTTTTGTGGTCTAGTATGAATCATGAATGCGTGATGGTGTGTTGCTATTATTTTGATGAAGTGGTGTGTTGCTATTATATATATGCAGCTGCTCCAGTTGAAGTGACATTTGGTTCTGGAGCTTGAAGGTCGCTATCGATTAGGAAATTTGGTTTCCCTAAGGCGGAGACTAGCCATGCCAAGGCATCAGCCGTTGGGTGGGATTCGGATCCTGAAGCTATGCAAATCGATGGTAAGGATGAAGGAGGAGGTCATGGTGCTGTTCATCCTATTCGTCAGCGAACCAGGAAGAAGTATAAAGAACCATTTGTAAGACCGAGATTCAATGTGTATTGTTCTGTCTTCTGGTCTATTCTTACGGGGGGAAATCAGACCTCCTGATCTTTTTGTGTATGCAGGACTATGAGAGTTACTATCCGATTACTCTTCCCCTGAGGCAGCCTTTCTCCGGTGAACCAGGTATATAGATACACGTTTGTTATTGTCTGTCAACAAAAGTTCCAGTCTTGATGTGATCTTGCTACAGTTTAAGTTAGTTTTGCTGCTACCGTGTTGCCAGATGTTCTTAACGAGGAAGAGTTTGGGAAGGCTGCAATGAACTCGGAGTACGATGAGAACTCCATCAAACATGCTGCAGAACTTGGTTTATCGGTAAGCCTAATGTGAATATGAATATCATTGTGGATTGAAACAGTGTTCCTCGTCGGATTTGTGAATTCATATGATGTCGAAATGATGATGATGATGATGATGACAGGAGAAATCTGATGGAGCAAAGATGCTTCTCTTCAAGTTCCCTCCCAAGATGCCTTACATTAACAGGTCAATTAGTAGCACGAAAGGGAAAGAAAAGGTTGGAAGTATCAGCAACAGCAGCAGCTCAAGCCAATCACAGAGCTCCAACTGTCTATCGCAGCTGCCTGAGGGATACATGGGCAAAATGGTGGTCTACAAGAGTGGAGCTGTCAAGTTTAAGATAGGAGACGTTCTGTACGATGTAAGTTGTTCTCGATATCACCCCTTTTCGCGTACTATATCCACCTGGATCCACGCTTGAGC